AATTAAAATCAGAATTTCATTGCACTTACTTTTTTGGCCAGAATTTCAGCGAAAGTAAACGCATTCTCTTGAAAATTTAGCTGCAGTATGAAGTAGAATTTTTCTACGTTATGCACACTTTGCTGTTTTCTCAAAAAATTATTTAGACTGAAATTTCGGCGTCTCAACATGAGTGATGATTTTGACCATTCTGTGGCCGATAGATTTCCTCTGAAGAAGGCAATCGCCAAAGTTTCGCTCATTTCTGTAAGCGTAAGAGTCGGCCTCCTGTTGACAGTTTTTGCAGAAATGTGGAAGCTGTTCAGTACGCAGAAAATCAAAAATCTCCATATTTTAGGATTTTGAGGGCTACGAAAAAGTGTCGGAAAAAGCGGGCAATTTTGAATATTATTTTTTCACTTTCGCGAATCTTCTTTGTTTGAGCTCCTTTCAACTTTTTTTTGTACTGCTGGCTTGCGGCTACAAGACAGTCAACATTTCATTTAAACCGACAAATCTTGAAGGAAGTTATGAGCACTTAAAAACGAGGTTTCCGGAAAAAATTTTTTTTGCTTATTAATCCATATTTCTCCACCGTTTTGTGATGTTAGCACAATTTAGTGTGCGCTGTACAGAGAGAAGTTTGGTGCCTCGGATGGACTTGACCGCACTGAAAAATACGGATTTTTTACAAAGTTACAACACGTCAAAGTGGGAACTCGCAAAACGCGCATTACTTTTGCACCAACCTAATAATTGTACATTTGGGGGCTCGTAGTATACAAAAACTGTTATTATAAGAAGAGCGCAGCATCATTTTGGTAAAACATAAAATTTATTTCTTGATTTCTAGCTAATAATAAAAGACAGTAAAATTACATATGAGTGCCTGATGTGGAGTATGCGTGAACGAGTGGCAGATCTGTAGGGCTTTTCGGAATGAAGATATAAAAAATTTTCAATTTTCTGGGCATCCAAAACCTTCTGAATTTTGGTTTCAAACCTGAGGTGGATCGAAGCTGATGCAAAAGCATAAACGCCATCTTATAGAGCTTGCTATGCTCTATCGAATGGTATCCTAATGTCTATTTACGACTTTTCACAGCGAAAACTCAAAAATGAAAAGACTTATGGGACAACCTAATAAAAAACTACACTGGAAGTTGAGGATACTCAGGAATGGAAATAATATTGAAAAAAAAGAAATAGTCAGGCATGAACTAAAAGGCAGAATCGTGCATGTAGTCATGAAGCACGTTATAAATTCGTCAATCTTACGCAGTGCCGCGATTAAGACAGAAAATCTTCATATGTTTACAATTCCAAAAAGCAGTTTGCATCTGTGCAGGAGATATGTCAGAAATGAGGTATCGGCATAATCTTGATTGGGTGAAGCTCCTTTACTTTTTGAAACAGTAAACTGGCAGCAATGATGGAACTGTATGAAGTGTGCGAAAATAGGACTAACGAAAAGATTGCGCTCTAAAATGACATTTGTAATTAATGGGAGAGTGACTGAGGGGCGCATGCATTAACATTCTCGGCGGAGAGGGGATTGCAACTTGAAAGAAAGCTTCATATCCTGAAGCTCTAGATACCTGAATCTCGCGTTGTAAGTCTATCATCAAATATTCCTACTATCCTTTACTATAAACGTATTGAACAGGAGCAATAAGCCGTGCAACCCGCATTTTCCTAATTTCTATATGATTCCCTGATGATCCCCGGCGCCAACCGTCTTTTTTTCAAAGTCATTTTTTTTCTTCAAAGTAAACCAAAATGTGACAAAGGTTTTAGTGTATATCTAACCAAACAGTGCTAAGCATGTTTTTGATAAGAACAAATGATATATCGAAGTCATGAGAAGCGATGAACCACAAGTCGAAAGTTACGGTTTGTTGAAAATTTCGATATTTCCGTAACTCATCTGCCTTAAGCAAAATACTTAGCACTATTAGGTTACATAGTACAACCTTGGAATGTTTTCATTAACTTCAAGGAAAAAAATAAGATTGAAGAAAAGACGCTCGGCCGCCAAGGATCATCAAGGAATCATAAAAGCTGAAAAATGCGGCTTGTGCAATCCTCGCTCCCGTTCAATATGTTCATGGTGAAGAGTAGGAGTATTTACGTATGGATAGACAGCGTCGAATCTATCGAGAGCTTCAACATTTGAAGCTTTCTTCTGAGCCGCGATGCCCCTCCCAGTGGGGACGTTGATGCATATGGCCCTGAAGGCACTTTTTCCCATCGAAATCAGCTTAGCGCTTTGGTAGAAACTGGTAAGGGTGAATTGGGGAGCCAAAATCATAACGCCATTTTTGCATGAAAGTTTATGGAGGATTTCGAATTACTTGTAGAAGAGGCAGCGTTCATTTGAGATGGCACATATTTTCTGACACTCTCTTATCAACCATTCAATCCCACCTTTCAGACGCGAAAGTTGATGTGCTTACAAATCAATCTGACACTACTCGTGTGATTTTAAAGCCTTAATAAATGATACAAGGTTGTAAACAGCTATGATTTTAATTTTCTGAGGGAACAGCTTTTGTAAGTTGATGCAAACTTGCAGTCTGTTTGAGCAAAGTTCAATTTCGTAGGTACAAATAGCGCGCAGTAGAGTGCCGAGTCCCCCCCCCCCCTCCCCTTCAACACACTCTCCCGAGACTGGGTCGCGAAATTTTTTTGAAAGTTACCACAATGAGTTATGAAAATGTGCAAGTGATTTGTTTATATTACGTTGGAGAGAAACGAATGTTTCTTTTTATTTCCTCGTCATGGCATCGCTACAAGACAAATACCAAAGAACATGTATGAAATTCCATTTAGAGGAAAGCAAGCTCTACGAAATCGTGTCATTGCTTTTGCACCTAGTTATATCTACATGGATTTTAAAGAGGAATCTAAACGCTCCAAATAACCAAAATCGAAAACATTTGTGTCTCCATCCAAAAAATTTCTGCAGATCCCCAACTTGCTCACAAACATGCAATCCTCGACTTCCACACTCGCACTTGCTGCAATTTTTTCCTTGGCTAGATTTTCGAAGAATCAAAAATTTTCTAATTTTGCCAAAGCGATGATGGGCTGTTCCTGTTTGTGTAATTCTATACCACTTAGCTTGGAAAGTACGACCGTAGTTTTCAACCGTCTACAAGAGTTACTTTACGAGAAATATCAAATTCAATTTGAAGAACAGAGGTTAAAAGGCCAAATTGATTTCTCCAAAAACAACTCTTGTAAAGGGCTAAAAATCTTTGGCTGTACTTTTCAATCTAGGTAGTATAGAATTATGCGCGGCAGCTGACCAGCATCAGTTTGACGGAAACATGAAAATTTTGATCTATCGATGTCCAGCCAAGGTAAAATTACAGCAAGTGCGCGTCTGATGAGAGATGTATTCGTAAGCAAGTTGGGGTTAAAATTTTCTGTACAACACGAATTCCAATTTTTCGCTAATTAAAATTTTTTTGCATTGAGTGTTCGAACTTCATGTGATATAACTTGATGCAAAAGCAGTAAAACCACTATGTAGAGCTTGCTTTGCTCTATCAGATGGTATGTTTCTGGGAGTCGCCTTATTGCGATGCCATGACGATGAAATAATATGAAACATTCTTTTCTTTCCACTTATTGCTTTATTAAGTCGTTCCAAAAGTAATGTGACTTTTTTCAAATAAACGCCACATTTCATGGAATCGAGATTCCCAAAAGATCTTAGAAGCATTCGATGCAGCATTTCATCCTCTTTCTAACGGTTAACTTCATTGCATAATATTCAATGAGCTCTCGAAAAATCACCAAAATCTGCGACTCATGCTCTTTGCCATCGTCAAGTTCGGCTATTTTCTAAATTTTTGTACCTATTCTTAAAAGAAGTACAAGCGACGGATAGACAGGACGGACCCTTTAGGACACAGAGTAATTTTTTTCTTTTGCTTAGTTGCTTGCTAGAATTTCTGAAATCAAATTTTTAGTGCTATCAAATTCCATATTTTGTCAACTCAAACCTCACAGAACAATAACCGGCAAGCAACTCGGATGTCATTCGACGCAGCTTTTTTCCCCTTTCTACCTGTTGTTTTCTGTTACCGCTTCACTAAGTTTTCCGGGATAAAATCATCATTTTAAGGTTTTCCAGGGCGCCTCAGGCTGTACCCGGAATTCTCAAAAGTTGCAAATCTGAAGCGGTAAATGCTCATCTGCTTTGTAAAATGGATGTTAAACCATAATCCGTCTTTGTAAGCTTCAAAATGCGAAGAATTGTTGGTGTTTGATGCATTTGTGTCTGAGACAAGCCTGCTAATATTTGGTGGTTTCATCGAAAAATCTGTACAAAAATTATGACGAGCTCTGGAAAATAGAAGAAAGCTGTGCTGTTTCCTTAGGGTTTGCTCTATCCATCCATTACGTGGACTCCTTTCGAGGATTGTAAAAACTTAAATGAAACTTGGCCTTCTCAAAAAGCATGAGTCGTAGATTTTGATAATTTTTGAGAGGTTGTTAAACTTTTTTGCATGTTTATATACCCGTAAGAAAGAGATTGAGATGCTGCATCGAATGCTCCTAGGATCTCTTAATTTCGTGAAATGTGGCGTTTATTTGAAAAAAGCGACATCACTTGGGGAACGAACTAATATAGTATAATTGAATTTTGAGACTTTTGAAGTCAAATCAGCCCTCTATAAAAATCTTTTCGGGGGCTTGCTTGATAGGTTTGCAAAAATTTTGGGCATCTGGAGAAAATTTCGAAGTGCATGGCTAACGCTATGCTTTATTTGGTAGGAAAATTTTTGTCCCCTCCCCCCCAAAGAAAATTCTGGTACGCCATTGATAGCTTTTCGGAACTGTTTTTGACTCTGAGAGCATCGCTACTTCAAAACCTATGTTCGAATTCAAATCAGCCAAGGAAGTATTAGATTCTCAACGGTTTCTTTTCCTTCTCTCACTCGCAAGCACCGTACTTTTACTATAGTAAAACATCAAAGTTCAAACATGTTTACTAGCCAACAGTTTACCTGTTTAAGAAATCGGGCTCCGCTCCTTTCCATTCCCAATACTGATTGGAATACCCATTGATGTTGCGAAACTGCTCAATATTCAGCAGCAAGCTTTTTCCAGCCATCTCTTCGCTAAACCTACCATTGAATTAGTTCCTGACATTCGAAGATGTGAACATGTTACGTATGTTTTGAGCTGTCCATGGTAACAGCCATAGATCGTGGTTTTTGCTTAGGGCAAGCATGCGAGATTCTTGTATCTTCCGGAATCAAATTCATATTGTGAAATAGAAAGCACTGCCAGTCATGATATTTCAGAGCTTCGGCAAAACCAATGTTTAACATCTAAATTCTTTCTTCAACCATGGAAATCTAGTAACATTATAACATTATAAGTTGGCCAACCTTGCCGCGGTTGAAAGTCTGGCCAGGAATTTGTTCCACAACAATGATAGAGTAGTCCATTTTTTGTTTGCTCAAAAATGTATGCATATTATTGAGAAAAATGTTGAAGTACAAGGGTCGATATGTGTAGGGCACCACGACAGCAAGCTAAACTGCATCACCTATATTATACATAGATAATGGCATCTCTGTTGTCCAACGGTTCTGGACTCTGACACATGAGCATTTGAGCTGAGCATGGCAGAAAGTCTCAATCGAAATAAAGTTAGCAGTGGAAGAAGAGGAACCGACAGCGTTGCCAAAAACTGAAGCAGAATTCTTTTCGATTGAGCAGAGGAACTAAAAATAACATTTTTGCTTGTAAAGTTTGTGAATTGAAATCGTTCCGTACTGGTGTTGATTGTGCACCAATGGGCAGAATCGCTAAAGAAAGTGTTTGCAAAAAATTCCGATTCAAATGCTGGATCAAACCCACCTTTCTTAATATAGAACAAGGAAAAACTCCCAAAATCAATGAACCTTCTTTACAATGACGAGCTCTTTTAGCTCCAGTTTTCCCGTAAATTTCCTAATTGCCAAACTGAAAAATTGATTTTATCTCACAAAGGGTGAATACTCTCTTACAAGGGAGGCCAGTGTAGACGAGGTAATCTTTTCAAATGAGTTCTATACCGCTTTGAAGAGCACTGAATGCTGACTCCAAATTTGTTTTCCATTATCTGCCAAGCGCCCCTGGGCGCTTAGCTACGGGTATTTTTTGAGCAAAAAATGGACGCAGAATTTAGATAAAATCAACCGTTACGGTCTTTTCAGCGCTCAATTAGAGCAGCGTTGACTCCGAGTGTATTAGACAGAAGTTACCTATTGATTGGAGGCTCTGCTAATTAACATTGGTTCGTTTGAACAATTCTGGATAAATTTTTTTAGATCGCATTCAATTTTTCGAATGATGAGCTTTTTCATATGCGTGATTGACATACTATTCTGAGAGGACATTTTGTATACGGAGAGATCCGAACAAAAAAGCTGAATTATATTGTCATTAAATAAGCCTTATTATTTTGTTAAGGATCTTGACGCAAAGCATAAGCACCCAATTGATAATGCCGGAACGTCTGTGAGTAAGGACACTATGAAAATTGCGCATATTGGCCGATGACTTGCTTCAAAATGATGCTTGTTTTGAAGCAAGCACCGACCAATATGGACAGCATTTTTCGAATAAGCGCTACAAGCTATTCCGAGTGATAATATGTAAATGTGTTGGAAGATGCGACCGGAGATCACCAATACGGAGTTGGCGGGAAGAAGATGCGATTTGCCCCTCTCAGTAGGGCATAAAAGGGGAAACAAACGGGAAGCCGCGAGCAGAAGAGGCTCGCGGTAGTCGAAAACTGTTCAGGAGAGAGCCAGACCTCCCCACGCAAAAACTCACCGAGAATCGACAGAATTACGTAACAAATCAGGACAGCATTTCCGATGAAGAAAAAAGAAGAGCAAGTTCAAAGATAAGGCGGCTATTACTTTGTCGTTGATTGCAAAAGCCTGCACTCCTCAGTCTACCCTACGGTTGCGCATGCCATTGGTAAATAATTACTCACTCTATGTGCTGCAGTGCAATCTTGGGGAATGCTGTGCCCTCCAGCTTCTATGTGAGCAAATTTCGTTGCAAGTTCTCTCTGCGAAAATGCCCACAAGTCCACATTGAACGAAGTGTTATCCGTGACTTGATCGCTTGTGCATCTCCTGCTTCTTCTACGACCAGTCTGCGTATCTATGTTGTCATGTTATAAAAACAGTATGACTGTCTTAGGCTGATGCAAAATCAATGGCTGTATTAATGGAATCCAAGAGCTAAAAGTGACCATTTTCAGATATCATTGCCGATCCCAGATTTGGATTTCTCATGTTTAGAAGCTTTGTTTTACACGATACCTGAATCAGGAAAAGGGGAGGATTTATGGGCGCGAATTGCCGAATTTTGATTTTCGTTTTTTCTTAAATTCCAAGTGAGAAAAATTACAGGCAATAAAAGTTACTAGGTATTTACTATGTGATCTAACTGAGAGATCTCTAGGATTTCTTGGCCGAAGATCCGACTTTTGAGCTGGCCACAGATTTTGGCATCAAACTTTACGTAGGCCTAATGTGTAGATAGATTTTGATGGCCACTTTACTGTAGAGCTTGCTTCGTTCTATCGAATGAGACCTCAATTGTATACTTCCATGTTCACATGCTTTGGTAGCGTTTGCTACAGACATTATTTTTGCATCAACCTAATATTATACAACATATAGCACAAGATAGTGCATGTTCAGCTTGACGAAACTACAGAAATGTGCACGCTGTAGTGGTAGCTAATAACCAAGGTCGCCTCTTAATACGACCCCCCGCCCTTCAAAGGCAGTAGTTCGGCAGAATGAGACCCGTGGCAAAATAAGATCACAGGGTAGGAGCCCTCATAATGAAACCTATGGCCCAAAGTTCGATCTTTCTCTGCCACTTCTAACCCCCGAAATTTCAAAGCGAAAGCAGCGCTCATCTCCTGTCCTCTCCGAACCCGCCCACCCCATAGACGAGCGAACACGAAGCCCGTCATGGCGAAGACGCAGAGTCGTTGCGGGACCTCATGCTTATAGCATTGCGGCTGGCGCTCTGACCGCGGAAGTCACTCGTCCATGGGGTGGGCGGGTTCGGAGAGGACAGAAGATGAGCACTGCTTTCGCTTTAAAATTTCGGGGGTTAGAAGTGGCAGAGAAAGATCGAACTTTGGCCCATAGGTTCCATTTGGGGCTCCTACCCTATAATCTTGTTTTGCCACGGGTCTCATTCTGCCGACCCACTGCCTTTAATGTCTATCTATCGTTATGCTAAAATGATGTCGCTGCATAATAAATAGCGTCTTCGTAATTATCATGTCAATGTGGATCGATAGCGAATTTCGTGGTTTTCAAATATTGAGCCACCTAAGTGAAGTCTCATTTTCAACATGATTGACTTTGTATTACAGGTAAATCGGTTTCCTCTTTTTGCACCCAATACAAAACGCTTATCGTCTTTGTCCTTATGAGGAATCCCACTTTCTTTGAGCGCCAATCTCTGGAATTAAAAGCCATTCGAAATCACGTCTGTACCAATTTCGCAAAGAAAGTTGTGCTTTTAACAATTGTTTATCAGAATGAAGATGACGAGTCAAACCTAAATTACTGCTTTGAAAATTAGAGACTTAGGTTACGATAACATGTATGTATTGTTTGCTAAGAGCTCTTTTGGAGTTGAGTTAATAGGGTGTGGCACACCCAAAAAAAATTGTGGTTTGCCACATTTTTTTGGAGTATTATTACTCGTCGTTAACTTACTTTCGAAACTTTCATATATTTATGGTTTTTAGATCAGTGAAGCAGCTAAAACTTCTCTCTTTACACTAGAGTTTATACGAAACCGTTACTCTTAGAAGAAATTGTGGTTGTTTTCATAAGCCCATGTTCATGGCAAATATTTGGTTACGGTAGTACGCCATATTCGCGCTACTACGTAAACTGGGGTGGCAAAAGTAAATATATTCGATAGCTAGATCTCGTGGTTTTTACAAGAGTAATTCGTGCCTAAATTGTTCAGTTACTCCAATTGGTTGGGGGGCAAAAAATGAGACAAACGAGATTTTGGCAGTCTCCTAATCGATATCTGGCGTGCAGCCGGCCTTAAATTACTTCCAAAATAAACTTAATCGCGTTAAAAAAGACCAATTTTGGGTGGTCTTATATCCGAAAACCTCAGCATTCACTTCTGGTGCACAGGTGTTATTTGAAGTGCTAATACGAAAATGATATTGTTATGCTTGGTAAAAGTTTTTTTCATTGCGCTTAACGTATACGATGATTGGTCAATGTCGCAGTATGCTTGTGTTTTGCATGATGAGCTCAATTGACTGTTGACATAGTACATTATGTTACCTCTAGCATCACTACCATCACGATCACGACCACCTTCCCTTTTTGACAATTCAGTAAAATTTTTCATACTTACCGTGCTCAGCGCTGGAGTATTTTTCTAGTGCACCTTTCGAGGCACAGCTTAGGCAGTTAACGGAAATCGCAAACTTATTTGCAGCCTAAACCTTTGCTTATAGACAAGAAAGCATGGAAAATACTGAAAACTTCTTACACCAAAAAGAATAAAGCAAATCACAATGAGAAGCAAAGCAATCCTTCGAAAAAAATATGAAATACAGAACATGTAGGATGCTGAGCAGATGTGACCTTTAAATTAACATATGTAGTCATAGTTCTGCGCAAATAGTAGTAGGTCATCACCATAATGTGTTTTCGTCGACGCAGATTGTACGTAAGATTAAATAGATTTTCATTCTAGAAAAGGCTTCGGCTAGAAAAGAACGGCCAAAGAGTTGTTTTTCGCAGTTTGTTAAGTATAATATTCTTGCAGAAGCCTTCAGTGTGAGATTGCCAAATAATTAGGTTGTCGGATAATTTTTGTTACACTTTTTTTTTATTTTTTCTAAAACGTTTTAGAAGCTTCCTGGAAATCCCAGATTTGCGAGACGATTAGGGTATAGCAACTCTACCTATCAGCATGACTGGTGCCGCAAGAGCACTATGACCATCAAGTTTACGGCAGTTTTGTAAAAGCACCCAAAAAACTAATTTTTGCCTGATTCTCTGCGCCTACTTGCGATTTTCCTCTTTTAGAATTCTTTTAGAACGTATTT